ATGTCATTTGTCAATTTAATTCAAATTAGTTGAATTTTAAGACAATAATTTTATGATTGATTTTTCATTTGGTACCTAAAAATAATTTAATCAGTAATTTATTTTACAAATTCTTTTAATTTATCAACACTAATTTATATAGTTTAGAAATTATATTTTTATTTAATTTATTAGAAACTTCCTTAATGATTTGATGTTTCCTTTTATGATGTTATAGTTAATTAAATTTCTTAAGATTTTAACTACTACTTCTAGTAGTTTTTAAGAAGCTTTATATATATTTTTTTATTGGAATATAATGTGTGCAATCTAACGTTTTTCGAGTTTCTGTCTTACTATACATACTTTTGAGGTTCTGGTCTTCAGCGACGACTGCCTGCTTCAAAGCGGAAAGCAGAGCATCGATGGAATAGACCCAGCTACATTAAAAAATTGTTCGTCCGAACAGAAACCTATTATAACATATTACAATAGACAACTTCAAAAATTCACTTTCAATTCATTGAACTTGTATTTCCAACTAAAGCTGAAGTTTATAAGCTTGTTCTAATTTGAAAAAGCACGGAAAGTGCTTTGATTAGTATCACTTAAAAAAAAAAAAAGTAAGATAAAACTTTAAAGTTTGTGGAGCCTTGGCTACTCGTGGAAAAACACGGTTAGTCATCGCTTCTAATTTAACAGGCACGAATTCTAAGCCTGGCACTTGCAGTCCAAAAACATATCATATACGGACTTTAAACTACTCTCTGCAAGAAAAAATTAACATGAAGAAACCTATTATATTGACTAATTATTAAATGATAAGATTTAAAAATTTTTAACTATATTTATAGTTAACAGTGAATTAGGTCGGCTATATTGAAGCTAAAGCCATGTGTATGTATGAATAAAATTAAATCATACCTAAATAATAAATAAAATGAGTATAAAAAAAATAAAAAAGTTTATACTAAAAAATATATCACACTGCGTTAAAATTATGCTACTAGAATTAATTCATATTAACTACAATGTAAATTTTTGAACTTTATTCAGTCCTGCAGTCCAACTTAACTTATCTCAAACATATTTTAGGATATCTATTAAGTGGTTAAGTTTTATCATTTACAGTATGGATGTCATACAATACATAAAACATACAACCAATAGCTTTTGGACGACGATTTTTTAATAATCTTTTGACTTGCGGATATATAATGAACAAAATTGTAGCAAAAAGTAACTTCATGTTGAGGTATAGGTTTTGGAGGTATTTTTTTTTTAACATTGTTCAAAGTATGGCACTAACTGTCAATTATGATCGTTGCGATCACTTCAACCATTTTTTTTTGTATAAATAAAAGGTTTGCATGTGAAAGATATGTGGATTTAGCAGAATACTGCTAAATAAATTCTTTTTTTCTTAACTAAAATGAATAAAAATTGTATCAGCAAATAAAGATTCCAACTCCGATGTTAGCAATCAACACAAAAATTAACCTTTAATCCCAGAAATTCAAAGAGTAAATTATTTAATGTACTTGAATAGTTTGAGTTAGATAATGAAAAAATTTTGTTTCATTCAATGATTTCATTATTGATAATGTATGTAGTTACTTATTTTAAAACGATGACTGTCGTTTATAATTGAAAATGATTTAATGATTGAACTTTAGATTGAATAATCACCTATGAAATTGGGAATTTAATCCAACTTAACTGCAGGTACTGTAGTGAAGAGAGACAAACTGTTGCACAAGCGGAAGAAACATCTAGGAGGGTATTTCATGGATCATAAGGATTTAAGACTAGGAAATATACACTCTATAATGTCTTTCATTAAAGAAACCGGACTTGGAAAAATACTCTAATCTGACTAATAGACTATAGATCTTTTAGGTCGCAGTGCATGATCCCTTCTTAAAATAATAAAAATGATTGAACTATCATATAACATAGTGTTATAGATTCTATAATATTCTTACATTATTTAGTTTCTTCGTATTTAGAATAAAATTTACTAGAATGTTTAACTGAATCTTAAGTTTAAATGAAATGCCAATTTACTCAGTAATTAACAATCAAAATAAAGCCCAAATTATTTTTTTTTTTTTTGAAAAGGATTCACAGAGTAGATGACACACTCTAGCAAAATTACTTTCTCATTCGTCTTCCATACGTTAGACATGCTTTATAATTTTTTCTGACAGTTTTCCCAATTTTTCGCTGCAGTTATTAAAAAACTCTGTTAAAAATAAACTAAAATGAAATAAAATAAACAACAGAGCAGCAACAACAACAACAATAAATCCAGTGTGGCTTTATGCGTATAATAAACAAGTTAATTTTATGGTTGTGTGGGTTTTACAGTGTATATTTGTATTGACAGTTACTATTGACATTGCAGCTTCTACTGTTGCTGCTGCTTCTGCTTCTGCTACTGCTGCTGTTGCTGTTAGTACTACTGGCTTTGTTGATGTGTTCTTCGTTTTCAACTCATTCACTGCCGCACTTTTTTTTCACAAATTTTATTTTATTTTTATATTTTTTGTTTGTTTTCAATTTGCTTTTTGTTTATTTTTCAATTTATTATTTTGTATATGTATTGTGCATATGTAAATTGTTGACTATTAGTTTTTCCATATGCCACAACTTTCATTAGTGGTTTGCATGCTGATTTTCCCTTGGCTTCGTTATTCATGCGCGAATGCGGCCATGTTCGCCTCTGTTGTTTATATTATACATACATAGACAGACAGGATATGATGGCATATGTGCATATGTGTTTGTGTTAGTGTGGCTTGTTAATTAGTCAATTAATATTTTGTTATTGTTTAAAGTGTTAAAAATATTGTTAATTATGAAAACTTTATTAAATATTTTGCAATTTAATGTGTCAGCGAAAAATATTTAAATAGGTAAATATTTATTTTAATTAAAATTATTCAATAAATATTTTAAAGAATAAAGCAGCGATATAAGGAAATGATATTTACAAGCAATTGTTGTAATTAACCAAATAAAAATTGTAATCAAGAAACTAAAATTAATACGTATAGCATACAAAGTACTTTTCAGAATCTTGCTTTCTACCAATGGTGTAGAAATAATAATGGTTTATCTATTACATCTGTCATGTGATGATAATTTTAATATTTTTTATTTATTTATGCTAAAATTTTATGGTTCATCTAAGGGTTAGGGAGTCATATGACGAATTGTACGCTGTTTTTGGTCTTAACCAAAAGACATTTCGTACGGATAGTAATAGTATAATTGCAAATTTTCTACTTTTATTACTATCAACCAAACGTTTTTTGTGTCTAGCTAAGAAAGATATTTACTTTTGTATGTATATCTATACAAAAATACACATATTTATTATTAAGCAAACCAGAGAATAACACATGAATTAAGACACAACGATCAAAATTCGGTATTGTCTGAATCAGTAGAGTTACTGAAATAAAATTACCCATAAATATAGTTCTTGAGATGGACTTTGTTTTGATTGTACTTTAAGCTAAATCGGCACCCCGAAACCTCTCCAGGTTTGGATTCAAACATGTTCAAATTTTCAATTTACTTGAATATTTCAAAAACTGTAATAAGAAGCAAAATTAAATTCGATATACTAATTATTTGTACTATTCCAATAACGCTTAAAAAGTTTCATAATATTTCGCGCGCTCTTTGCAAAAACCACCTTCCTCTACAAAATGTTCAAAAAAAATTATTTATTATATAAAAAATTATGTAAAAAATTGATTTTGTTGGACTTTATATATTTATTACATATTTAAATATACTACTTTAAATAAAAAATGAGACTAATCTGTTTTTGAGTTCTTAAGTTATTTATAATTTTAGGAAATTTTACTGAAATTAAGATTTCGCAGAATTTTGGCCAATTTATAACCATTGCAATTTAATTACTGTTTATCGAAAAATGCCAATTTTTTCTGTTTTTTAAAGCTTAAAATATTATTATTAATTAAGTTGTAAAAATTTTTAATTTTAATTAAGAGTAAAAATTTATAATTGAAAAAATCTGTCATATCTTTAAAACTGTTTTCACTTAAGTAATCTGAGTATCATGAAACTTTTTCAAACTTTATAGTGTAGGTTCAATTGGTATATAACAACTATATAACTTTATTATGCTACCTATTATAGTTCTTGAGATATTTAAAAAAATTAAAAAATTGACTATGTTGTGGACCAAATTTGAAGCGTTTATAGTATGCCGATTTGACTTCATTCAAAATATATATAATAGAAAGCCCTATTAAAAACCATATTAATATTTCATATCTATACTGGTTCAACAAATACTGAATTTTGATCGTTTCTCCTACAATTCTCCTACACAAGGCCTTGACAGTGATATATTATCTCTTTGCACCAATAAAATTCTTAATAAAAAATATTGAGTTTTTAAAATGTATCTTCCGCATATTCTTAAAAAAATTATTCATGTATTGATTTTCATATCATATTTTCATCACCAATCTGTGTACTCTAAAAAAATTTTCTCAAACTAAATATATTCAATCCACAACTATTGATAAAAATTGAATAGTTATCTAATTTGGATATTATAACAACTTCATTCTTAATAAGTTCTTATAAACTTCTAAATTTTATTTTATCAACATTCAAATTGCATTACAATCAACATTGATCGATCCAAAGCTGTGAAAGTTTTACATCAAGATACTTCGCAATAACTTCTGGCAGTCTTTTATCCTCAATGTCAACAATTTTATTGAATTTAATAAAAAATTTTACTAAATTACATTATGCAAATTGTTACCTGCTACAAGTATGCAGGGTGAAATTGTTTTTACAACAAATGCAATTGCAGTATTAACTGCAACAGCAGCAAAAGCGTTGCAATATTTTAGCAATTTCATTTGCAGTGGAAATAGCATTTGTACTCCATCCGTTATTTTATTGTAACTTGTTGCGAAAGTGCATTAAATTTAAATTTAATTTGCATCTTTTACATATATTTGCAGTGAATAAAATGTCGCCGCGTCCTTCCTTGGTGCCCACAGATGGCGATGGCAGCTATGGTGGTTATCAACAAATGCAACAGCAGGATGCAACAGCTAATCAAAATAACAATAATAACAATAACACAACAAGTGGTAGTGCGAATTCATCCAAAACGGAACCGGGACGACGTGCTGGGGCGTGCAGAGTCTGTTTGAAGTCTTTCAAACCGGATGACTATCACAAAACATGCTTTGAATGTCAGCAACGCGTTTGCGAGGACTGTGCCAGTTACAGTAAACTTGAGGAGAATGAGGATGCGGTGAGTGCACTTGTAATGAATTTTACGGTTTTAAAGTGAATTTGATTTGAATAACGCCACTCGTACAGAAAACTACAAAATTGATAATATCCTTTACAGATTAAAACTGTTGCTAAAAGTAAAGTGATATAATTGAAACAATATTTTATTATACAAATTTTAACATTTTATAGTGGCAAGAAGTTAAGTGTGCAATTAAAAAGAAATTAATTTAAAGTATTACTAATTAAATAATGGACTGTATAAAAGTAAAGTGTACTCTACCGTTTATCAAAAAAGATTTTATAAAAAAAAAGTCTTACTACTAGCATATAAATTTTCAATATTTAGTTTACTTGCCGTAGAATAAAAACAAACTGAAGCCATAAATTTAAAACTTCTAAGAAACTTACAGCTTTCATATTATCGTTATATATACGAAAAATACGAAAAATTAGGGATTTTCTACGCAAGAAAAAACATTGCGTTAAAAACCATTTTTAAATGTTACTCATACGTACCGTGTACCCAAAAATTATATAAAAAAAATTATATAGTTATTGAGATGATTATGTGATTCTGATAGTTGCTTTAAATTAAAGTCCAATAAGTTCGAAATAAGAAAAATATTTCTTCAGGAAATTTTTCTTTACAAATAGTTCACTATACAGTTTCTGATGGCTTTTTAAAAAAAGTCTTATGTGAGTAGAAATTTTTTTTTGTGGAAATAGCATGTATAACGTCCATTTGACTATATCTTTAGCAGCCAATTCGTAACGATCAAAGTTACTGCATTGGATATTTATGCAATTGAAATGATAAGCGATTCTATTGTAACTTCAATTTCAATGTTAATGATTTCTAGAAGGTTATTTTATAACTCCGTTGAAAGAATAGTTAAAGTCTTCTATCTTGTTTATGCTGTTTAATCGATGATTTGGTGTTAAAACTCTTAAAACGCTATTGAGATCACATTGCAAAGTATTGAGCATCAAAGCGTGACAATTAGTCGGCTTCAAGTAAAGACCTTAGAGCTTAATTTACACGTTAACATTGCTTCATATTTCTGCAATAACAGATCGAATTAAGTAATTAGAACACATGCACTATTTTTCTAACCAAATCAGTTGGAATATTATTTAATATTATTAAACATTTTGCCAACATAACACTTCTATGCAATTTTAAAATATATTATTACATATTGAATTAAATTGAAATAAAGCCAAATCCATTATTATTAGAAAATAATTGTGGTATGTTATATATAAAATAATACTATCTACATTTGTATATATATATAAATAATATCATCTACAACTGAGTGATATTTTGTTGTTGTAGTGTTGTAGTTATATATAAATACTTAAGAATTTACATTCCGACCATTTTTTATATAATAATAATAATAAAATTTAATATATTTACTTAGTAGAGTAGAATATAAAATGAAAATATATAATATAAAATATAAGACAAGTTAGTAATGTTCATTCTACATCTCTGTCCGTTATGATTTATGCCCATTGCATGTTCAGTCATAAATAATCGATACAAAATGGCACAACAATAGTGACTTTTGTATCTAATAAGTGAAATAAACGACACTGCAATGTGGCACGTCTGACACGTTTGATGAACTTATTGCCAACTGTTTTGTTCTTCATCATATTTTGAATTGATAAGTTAGTACCACTTTGTAGTGATTATTTATGCTTTAATAAAAATCCTTAAAGTTAAACAATAGTTGAAAAAAAACAACAAAAGTAAATTATAAAATTAATTCAAACTTAATTCTAAATAATTAATTAATTAATAATAACTCTTGTTTCGTTCTTCGAGTTGTTGAATTTAAATAATTATATTTTCTAATGTTACTGATTACATTTATAAACCATTCTTATTCTGCAAAAAGTAATACATTTGAGGTACGAAAAACGAATTGAAACGAATTTCATATAAATATGGTTAAATAATGTCTTCGACAAAAATAATATAAAAAATTAATATACCCTCGAAATGTCTCGGAAAAAATTAATTATCTATCCAAACAGATAAAAAGAACGAACTATAAGTTAAACTAAAGCACGTTTAAGGAACAATAATTCACATCAAGCACGGTCTTTATAAGATTAGGTTTACGAGGTACGCACACCACATATTTTTTTTTTATTTCTTTAATTTCTCGAACCAAAGAACCATTTCCTTATTTATGCCATACACACCGAAAACACTGTATACAGGTTTTAATTCAAAAAATCGCAGGTTAATGTAATGTAGTCCGTGTAATTGGACTACAATCTGCCAACTACTGTATTCGGTTATTGTTGAAAAGCCCTGTGTTGCGCATACGGTTTAGAGATTATCTCCGTGAAGTAAATCCATTCCGAGAATGTATTCCTCTGTAGCTATGAGGAATGCCGCGCATTTCATATTTAAAAAAAAAAAAAAAAATTATCAAAATTTTTTCGTAGATTATACTTTAAGGTATGGTTGCATCAACTAATTCAAAGCGCTTCCTATTTACAAGTTAACATTAATATCAAATAAATTTTACGAAGGTTATATTTCATTTCTATGATTTTAATATAGCAAAAATTCAAGTTCATGAGAATTATATTGGATTTAACACAGAATTTAAAGGTTATCTCCTTTTATCACAAAAGTTATTTAATATTTGAAATTTTCCTGAAAAATCCAGTTTGAATACATAGCTATCTGGCTTACCTAATCTAGTGTATTCTTCTATTTATATGACGTTAATTTCAATAAAGTGGAAAATAACGTCTTCACAAATTTGACAAGAACTCTTTAGCAAATTGTTGATACAACCAATTAATTTGTATGAATTTTTACAAAACAGCAAATCAATCGGTTTGTCATTTTTTAATTATATTTGAATGTGCAAATTTATTTCACCAATCCAACTGCTTTTTCAATACTATAATTTCTTATGAATTTTATTTTTCTTTCATCCACTAAAGGTATTGCTACAAGTAGCAATACTTTTCTTAATTAAATTTCTTTAAATTTGATATACTCATATTATCACTTCTTAAGCAGTTTTTTGAATATTTCCTTTCCAGTGATATTTTTTGTACAACAAAATTACTGATGAACTTAATTAAAATGCTAAAATTTTCGAAGAGTTTTATTTGGATTCATTGAGTAGTTCTTTATTCAAATAAAATGATTGAAATTCACAAAAACTTGAATTCCAACTTGAGCTGTTCAATAAAGCAGAGTACATCATTATACATGTCCAAGCATACTCCATACTCCAATGCATACTTGTATTGTATGATTGCACGTTCCTCAGCAGGAAACTAGAAAATGCAGGAATGCAATACAGAGAAAGCCATTGTTGATTAAAGTTTTTGTTTATTGCCATTGGCGCTGCATGTTTCCTTGACATGCAGATTCCAGCAAACGGTCAAACTACAAACATTTTTAATTTCCATTATAACTTTTTGAATTCTTTTATTTTTTTAGCTTATAGAAAGGACTACATTCATAGCACGTTTGAATCTTAATGGGAATTTTCCTTCTGCGACTCTACTTAACTTAAAGCATTCGTTTATTAATTTTATGAAAAACTTTTTTCCAAAAATGCTTATTTTTTTTAAGTTATACATATAATTTTAATTTAAAAACAGATACTTTATGCAACAACTACTATAACATTTTTTGTGACGAATATGCTATACTCCATATCAAATTCATTCAAGACAGGTGCAGCTTCTAGAGTCTTTCGAAATCCCTCTTACAATTGTTTATTGAAGTGTGTCCTTGTTGAAACCGAACGTTGAATTTTTCCACTTTTTTATTGATAAATTTATTGATAGGTTACACTAACTTGTAGTATGTATTTAGTATTATGTACTACATGGTATAGGGCATTAACTTAATATTGTTAATTTTTATTCAGTTTCAGGTATAATGTTTATATAATGTTTGTATAATGTTATATTCTAAAACTTTAATTTAAGGCGATTCAATAAAGACATATAATTAAATAAAAACAAAAATAAATTTATATATATTTAACATATAATAAGTTACATGGTGAACTCCAAAGTAATTTTTTTAATTATTAATACATAGTATTTAATGTAATTTTTCTCGAATTTTTTTTTCTTTTGTTTGATACGAATAAAGTATCTAATTGCGAAACAGACTTAATTTATTAAATATTAAAGTCAATGTTATTTCAAGCACACTTAAATAATATCCAACAAATACACACATACATAACATGTGGCATTGCATGCATCTTAAACCGCAACGCCACAACCTCACAAAATACCGCAATTAGCAGTGCATTAATGTGCATTCGTGCATAAGTGCAACAGTTTAAGGACGACATGATTTAAGATACACACATGCATTCGCCAACAAAGCGTGCTTAAGTATGCACACCATAATTCGTCGCGATAATAATGTAAAGCGAAAGGCCTCAGGGCATCACAAAATGCTTTTGAATGTATTTAAGCATGCTGAACGCCGGACATTAAGTAACCACAGACATAAACACAAATTTTGCGAAATATACATACTATATATAATAAACGGTTTAAAAGCATTAAGAATGATTTATGGATTTGTTTACTTACAGAATATGTGGCGCTGCAGTGTTTGCCGACGGAAAATGGCCTCACGTGTTTGCATACCGCAAGACTCCACAGATTCTATGCTAGACGTACCTGTGTTAGAGGCTTTACAACGACGTCATTCAGATGCAAAATTAGGTTCCAGTACGCAAACATTAGCACCGGCAAATGGTGCAGCTTTAGCACCTCCACGTAGTCCAGAATTAAGGAGACACTCGGATGTATCGCCTGCCTCACTAAAAGAATTGGAAAAGGTAAGTTTATGCCATCACACTAACCTGAAGCACATTATAAAGCAAATTTAATAACAAAGCAGTTAAAGGGTAACAAAACGCCGGGCGGTGATGGTGACTGGCGTGGCGGTGGACGTAGCATGGCACCAAGTCGTTCGTCAAGTCCACCACGTCAAGGTGAAGAGCCTGCATTTGGACCACCATTGTCACGTATTGCATCGAGACGTGGCTCACGTGTAGCACGACAGCATAGCTATGATGATGATATGAAAACTGGTGGTGGAGCAACTGGAACAGGTGGCATTGGTGCTGGGGGCTTGGGTGTTGGTGGTGATGCTGGTTTAGGTATACCCGCTATGCCAAGAAGGTATGTAGCTGGTACAATGTAGATAGTTCGAAATTTAATTTATTTATTTAATATTTTTATTCATAAAAGAAAATCTGCTTATGATGTGTTTGCGCCTGGCTTGATACAAGCAGTTGCAGCCGGTGCACAATTGCAACGCTCACCAGGTGATGGCATGGCACCACAAATAGCTTTACCTGGTTCACGTAGACCCAGTTTTAGGGTGCCACATCCATCTGAGGATTTACAAAATGATGAGTCACCTAGTCCTGATAAAGGTAGTCCTGTATTAACTGTGGACGATGACAGACGTATGCGGCGACGTGGTTCACAACTGTAAGTTTCAATATATATATAATATATTTTCATTTTGAGAAACATATATAGTAGATTCTATTTCTTTTACTGAAAATAATGTAATAATATTGTTTTTTTTCTTGTTTAATTTCATTAAAATAAACTAGTTTGTTTTTAAGTCAATATTACAGGGTTTTGATATTTTCTTCTGTCATTAACTTAAGAATATTTATCAATTATTTTTTTATTAAAAAAAATTAAATATCTACTACGAAATAACTAGGATCCATGATTTGACTTATTTTATATATTTAACTCTAAATATCTGTATTATACCCCTTATGTGTATATAGAGAATAGTGCCTTTCGGAACTGAAACTAAATCAATTTATACTAATTAAATTAAGTTTTGGTCGTTTCCATTGGGATAAGTTGATTTGTGCATGTGAAAGAGAGTTTATCGGTTAGAAAGTTTTGTGAATGTTCAAGGAGAGATTTCGTTTATTTATATTTTTCAATATAATTTATTTTTTTTTTAAATAAATAAACTTAAAATCCCTTACATACATTAAAAATAAAAATTTCAATTTATATTTGTATAAGTATATTTATATTTAAAATTTTTTAATATTTACAAATTATTATTGTAAGTGAAAATCTATTTTTCTTTTATTAAGACCTGACATAACTGCTCTTCGTGATCGTGGTGCTCTTCCAGCCACAATACCTGCTGCTATACCGCCACCAGTTGCTGCTTTTACAGGTCCCAACTTAGAGGATTTAGAAGCACCACGTCGTCAAACATCAATGGATGGTGAAGCTATTAAAATTGTTATACACGATGTTGATTCGGGACCGATTTGTTCATCAAAAAGACGTATTGTATTGCGTAGAGATCCTTCTGATAAAGCACACCGCAGTAAGTGTTATAAAAAAATTAAATATAATTTAAGTTTTATTTTATATAATTTTGAATTGAATTAATTTAATATAAATATACTCTTAGGTGATAGTTATTTGTTCTTAAGTACATATAATATTTTTTTTCAGTTTTTTAATGTTGAAATAATATTTGTGAAATCACTTAAAAGCTGTATATAGAGAAGAAAGTTTCATAACAGTTTATTTACCATAAACTTTCAAGTGCCGGTCTCCAAAATATGTTAGTATAATGTTAACAGACTTTTGAGGTACAAACGGATTTTAATAAAGTATAAAATACTCAGCATTTCCAATATCAAAACTCTAAAAAATCTCTTGTTAAAGTATTTCTTGTTTGGAACGGGGATATAAGCTCCTTGTGCAGTATTTTCTTCCTGAACTTACTCAAAGTCAGTAAGTCACAAACAATTCGACGAAATGTTTCGTCTTCTTTTAGGCTTAGCGTATATCATCATTAGCGTATATATCATCTCAGATAAATGTGTCATGTCAATATCGTAACGTTAATTAAAATGAATTTTTACTAGCATTTATTCTTACTAGATTTATTCTACTTAAAAGAGATGTCTCTTTTAGGTTACAGAGATAAACCACCTCGTTAAGCTTAGGAACAACTCGGTTTGTTAATCTACTAACATCTTTTCACTAATATGCAGTTTTTAATCAAAAACTTAGTTATAGACCAACTAATGACACAAAAAAGCTTTAATCGACAAGTTTGTATGACAGGTCCTATTCTTCGGATTTATACACATCTTAATCGATTACTTAATATACAATAAATTACAGTTTTGTCATATTTGAAAACATAGTTTTATCGCAGAAAGTTCATGTATCAATTTTAGTTTTGGGCGATCTTTACCAAGGCTTACTTCATAAAATCGATAGATTTACAGATTTCTTTTCATTGATTTTTAATCTCAACTTATTTTTTTTATTATTTAAATTATGTTGTAGTGTTATTACAATTCATTTAGTTCATGATTATACTACAGTCTCCAGCTTTAGTTTTTTTATATAGATCCAAGCACTTTATCATCACTTTTATATCAAATGTAGATAGATGCAAGACCAGGCACGAAGAAATAATAGAAATAAAATAACAAAAAAGGATTGAAATTTTCTTAATTCATTTAAAATGTTTTATAAGGACGCCACATATTTGAGCCGATTGGCAAACGAATCGCAATTTGTATTTTTTCATCTATTCTCAAAGAAAGACTTTATTGAGCACATCGATATTAATACGGACTTTGAATTGAAAACTGTTTTATAAAATGAAGTGAAGTGTATTTTCTCCTAGATTTTTCTCATTTTTTGTTGATTGGCAGAACTCCGTGTGTTTGTTACAAAGTTACCTTATTCTCTCCATAACTATTGACTTCCCATGGCTCCAGAGCACAGTATAAAACTTAAGACATATGCCTTAGTTTAGAAATATTATTTAGCTAAATAACCCATTATTTTTCTAAAACTAAACTAAATAGATTCAAATTCATTATTTATAACAGAAAATAAACACAATTACACAAAAATAGCAGGTATTTCATTGTGTATCTGTTAAGATTAATTGCTCTTAAAACGACACCAAAGTACTACATGTTATTGAAAACATATAGAAAATAAAAAATACATACAAAAAGTAAAAAGTACTAGGAAGAAAAATCCTTTTAAATTTTTGAATGCAGTTTTCTTCTTATATGTATATACACCTAACTTATATGAACTTTGATTGATCCATAAAACTTGAACATAAAGTAATTCATATGGAAATGAGCAGTAGAAATAAGTGCACTTGAAGGTGTATACACATTTGAATAGTGAGGCGTATGTATACTCGTATGCAAATTCCTGTAACTTCCGTATTGTAACAAATTTGCATAGACAAGTTAAGAACTCCTTTGCAGAACTACAGATTGTGTAGTCATCAAATAAGATTTCGACAAAGATGAAGCAATAGACTTGAATTATGCTTAACGGCATCGATAGTTGCTCTTATATTGGCTTACGAGAATTACGAGCATTACGAACCACGTTTGAGTTTATTGGAAATGCAGCTTATGTTAACGCATGACTGCATATTCCTTAAGTGCACAATTTTCCGCTGTAATTGCGTTGCATTAAAACCCATTTTCAAAATGGGTTCCGCACAGAAATGCCATAAGCGTTGATATGCATTAGTGTAAAGATGAGGCCCGTAAATAAATTTGCATAGATGCTTTCAATTCTGTTAGAAAACAAAGCAAATTTAACTTCACTGACGAATGAATTTTAAATATTGATTATTTTACCTACAGTGATGATATGAGATTAAAAGAATTTTTTTGAATTAAAATATTAAACAATTCAGTGAATTATTTGCAATTAAATTTAGTAAACTCAGAGAAAATTATAAAACTTAAACAAAATAGATCATCTGAAAATAACATCTGCACTACATAACTACACAACACACAAAAATAAAACCTTAAGAGTTGTTTCTTCTATGAAAAAAATAAAGTACAAAAATCGTCTAATATCGCAAACTCGTTGAAGAATAAGAGGAACTCCATATCATGGAAAAGTTGTGCTATATCACACAATCTTGTACTTCACTTTCAGTAATATATCTAAGAGAAACCTAGACCTTAAAAAGATGAAATAAAAATAAATTAAAATTATTTGATATAAATGTGATAATGGAAGTTTTTGGATCTACGAGTATATAAGAAAACTGACACTGGGGACTGTAGTATAATCTTGAACTAAATGAATTGTATTGACAGCACAACATATTGTAAATAATAACAACAAATAAGATTAGAAAACTATATAATAAATCATTATTATTAGAAAATAATTAAAAAAAGATCGAGCAAAATTTAATTTTTAGTTAAACTGAATAATCTTGTTTTTGTGCTTCTTTTTTTAATAAAATTTATATAATTCTGATTTATGTACTTAAAAAATAGATAAGTATTTTCATATATATTTCCCCTTCACATACAAATAGAAAAGGTTGCCATATTGCGAATATGTTTGCAAAGACGTCATCACTTTTTAATAATGAAATGGCAATTCTTAGACTGACATAAAGTTTCTTTATTAAAAGCAATATAAAATAATATTTTAATCCAGTTATGTTATTCTTAATACATTTTCTTTTATTATTGGAAATATTTTTTCAAATTTAACTCAAACATAATTTTATGCTTTTCTGATTATTGAATTTTCTAGAGAATTCATATAGAAAATATAATATATAAAAAAGCTCATAACTATTAATTGCTATACAAACTATCATCCAGCACATATGTGGGCAGTTTCATGAAATCCAATATTGCTTATACAAAAGTATCTTATCGTAAAAAAACTTGAAGCAATCATATATTCAAAGGAGACTGTTGGACTAATCCGTTGCTTACTTGGCAAAAATAAATGGCACATTCTAATAAATTCTAATCGATTTTCAATTTTCCGCAAATATTTGCATTCGTAAGAGGAAATACGTTTATAACAACACTGGATATTTTCACTTGCAAATCACAGTCAACATCTGTTCAACACCACATTGTCCACTTTCACTGCTCAGTTTAATGAAATCCATGGGAGTTGCTGTTGAAGTAGTTCCTTCTGAATATTTATAGTTTAAACGATGAGCACAGTTTGTTTGCATCTGGAATTCCTCTTGAAATGTTAACAAAGCACTTTTTGTTTTTATCTTTCTCTTTAGAAATTTATTTTTCATTTTTTTGTTAAGAAAAAATTTTTTATTTTAAAATCAATTTATTTTTATATATATTAATTTTTTCACTGCAAAAATATTTAAAAATCAAATTAAATATATATTTCATACGACTACAATTTGCACTAAATTTAAAAATTAAATTTTTATTAACTGTAGTCTTAAATAACTTCAGTTGTGAAATTATCTGCAGATTAAATAACTTGCATAGTCACAAACAAATTTAAACAATTTCCGTTTAAAATATGTAAATTTCACAATTTATTTTTGTTTTCTCCACATTTCGCTTCATAGTTGAACTCTGCCGGAGGCAACCCGGCACAACCCAGCGCAACCCAACGCAACCCAGCGCAACGACTGTTTAATACGGCAGCTGCACATCCTGAGGAATGCTATTCGCTCAGGGATTAGCAGTGCCACATACAAGATTATTATGCGAAAATTATTATTGAAATTGTTATTATGTGAAAGTTGAGATTTGTGTAAATGTACACGAATGGGATAGTATATATTTATATTCCCAGTAGTATTTCCAAACCATATGCCGGGGAACAATGGAATGTCAAAATTATAATATTTCAAAGCTGACTAAAATTTTTAAACATATGGATGTACATTTTATATTAATTGTGAAAAACTATCGATTATTAACATTATAATTTGTGCTGGTTTGCTTTTCAGCATGTATAATAATTTATAGATACAATATTATTTATTTATAATAATATTGAGATGAAGAAAAAGTGTTCGACATTTTCCTGTTCACTTGACTTTCAGATACTATAACTATAATATGGATAACTGCATCTGTTTATTCCTATTGTTTTTTGTTAGATAAATAATATATATAAATTTCTTTAATTCCTAAGAGGAGCATTGGGCCACACAGATAAATGATAGATTATAACTTATTTAGAATATCACAAAATTTTTTAAGAACATTACAATATTTAAGTTTCATGTTAGAACTAAGATAAAGATTAGCCACTCTTTTAAAAATAGTATAGATTTTAGCAAAAATTTTTTAAAATATATATAGGTATTCCATAGTGAACCCAGTGTGTACCTATAGAATACAGTTAAGGTGCATAAGAAGATACAAATATACTTAAGTATATAAATGTATCAATCCAAAATTGTAGGATTACTACTTAACGCATCATGGTTCATTAGAAACAGTATTATATATTAAGCTCTTAAGATTTTGACTTTGCTCGAGAAAATTCTAAGGTAGTAGGTATATAAAAAACCTTTAACAAAAACTACTAACAGCTACTTTAATTGACGAACCTGATAAAAATAGAAGACCAAAGATCCACGGCGTTTTAGTTCGTTTCAGAAATAATAAATATTATATCGTTTCAGGATAACTAATATTTATTTAAGAATATTTAATACTCTTAAACACTACAACTTATTTTAAACATATGCCAGAATAACCGTACCGATTAAACACTATGTATGTGACATGATTTAATTAGAAAATGTAGTTTCAATATTATAATGTTCTTGTTTCACTGAGACTTAACGACTAAATTTACATTTTATCACTTACTACTAAGAGAGATGAGTATTGACCATAATAAGGTTACCCTATAACATATTTTAGATTAAGGTGACCATATTACAATACCCCCCCTTTACAATTGTTTCATGTTATCTTTAAATTTACGTGTTCTCAAATTATACTTGTAATTAATTTTTCCTTTCTGATCTACAATATTTTCTTCCACTTTTTGACTTACAATATCTTTTGCCTTACTACCAATATTTGCCTCAACTATTGGTTCTTTAAATAATTTAGACCTATTTTCTTCCTCCTGAAAATTTTTCTTACAACCAATCATTTGATTTGCATGCCTTTTCCAGTTTTTTCCATTTTCAGTTTTAACTATATATATCTGTCTTCCTAACTTTTTAGATACATAGCCTTTTGCCCAACTTACTCGGCCTGGTATGGAATAATCTTTTATCATCACGGCCTCATTTTCTTTGAACCTATTGTTCCTCGATCCATAATATTTCTTTTGCTTGTTTTGACTTTCTTCTACTATTTTGTTTACATTTACATTTATTTCAACTTTTCTATGTGGATTAAATAAATCTAGTTTTGTCCGCAACTGACGACCAAACATTAACGTAGCTGGCGCAATACCTGTACTACAGTGTTTAGTATTACGATAATCAAACAAAAATTTATTTAATACTACATTAAAATTTCCTGAGTCAACATTAAGTAGACTTCGCTTTAACGCGTTTTTTACGGTTTTAACCGCATTTTCTGCCTGACCATTAGTTGCAGGATACCCTACCGGAGTTGTGAAATGCTTAATACCACAATTCTTTAAATATATTTTAAACTCGTTGGATACAAATGCAGTTCCATTATCAGACACTAATTCATGTGGCAGTCCAAAACGTGCAAAAACATCCTGCAATTTTTCTATTACTGCATTACTAGTTGTATTTCTACCCATGTCAATACATTCAATCCACTTGGTATGTGCATCAATTATAATTAAACACCATCGCTTAAAACATGGTCCAAAAAAATCAATGTGCACCCTACTCCAAGGTTTGTCTGGCCACTTCCATACTTTTAATTCCTGCTTAGGTGGATCTGCCCTTGTTTTAAGACAAGGCTCACAACCTTTAACTGCTATTTCTAAATCTTTAGTTTGTTTTGGCCACCAAGAACATTCTCTTGCCCTAGACTTCATTTTCACTATTCCCATGTGTGATGAGTGTAATAATTCCACTACCTTATGTTGTAAGCTTTTAGGAATTACAATTCGATAAGCCCAGAAAACACAATTTTGCTCATAAGATAGTTCATTCTTCTTCCTAAAATATTGTTCCATATCTACATCTGTGCATTTGCTTGGCCAACCCTTAAGGATATACTCTTTAACTTTTTGTAGCACCTTATCTTTTTCAGTCTCTTTTTTTACTAACTCTAAATCTAACTGAATTTTGTTGCTTTCTTTAACATAGTTAAAATACACATCAGACTCTAACCATTTATTTTCACAGTAGATTTTGGACGGAAATCTTGAAAAGTAATCTGCTACATTTTGTGTTGATCTGATATGCTCAACCTGAAAATTGTAACCCGACAATGCTAACGCAATACGTTGTAATCTGTTTGCCGCCATCTGCGGTATACCTTTTTTAGGATTAAAAATATACTGTAAGGGTTTATTATCTGTCACAAGTATAAATTTACGTCCATACAGATATTGGTGAAACTTGGTAACACCAAACAAAATAGCTACTGCCTCCCTATCCAATTGAGAGTACTTTCTTTCTACTGGCTTCAAAATTCTTGAAGCAAATTCGATTGGCTTTTCAACACCGTCTGGCGCTACCTGTGAAAGTACTGCTCCCACGCCAATCGGACTTGCATCTACTGTTAACTTTGTTCCAAACTCCGGATTAAAATGTGTCAGACATTTATCCGCTATTACTAAATTCTTTAATTTATCTATTGCTTTAGAACATTCGTTTGTCCAGACAAACTGACTATCTCCCTTCATTAAGTCATACAATGGGGAAGCTATATTTGCCAGATTTGGTAAAAAGCGTCTATAAAAATTTATCATTCCCAAAAATGCTTGAAGCTCTTTCAGATTTTTTGGATAAGCAATATCTTTGATCATCCTAATTTTTTCAGGGTTAGTATGCAACCCCTCTTTATCGATAATATGACCTAAATATTCCACTTTTTTACAAAAAAAATTACACTTTTCTAGGGATAATGAAAACCCTGCATCTTGTAAAACACTTAACACTTGTTTTACTCGTTTAACGTGTTCAACTCTATTCCCTGCTGTGATCAGTATATCATCAATAAAAACAACTACTCCCTCAATTTTTAGCAACAAATTTTCCATAATTTTTTGGAAAATTGCCGGAGCGGATGCCAACCCGTAGACTAAACGTTTATATTGAAACAACCCTTTAGTTGTTGAAATGGTGGTAAATTTTCTTGAATCTTCATCCAACTCCATCTGTTGATATGCCATGGTAAGATCTAATTTAGTGAATTCATCACCTCCCTGTAACTTTGCAAATAATTCTTCAATACGTGGCAAAGGATATTTGTCCACAATTAGGACTGGATTTACTGTT